ACTTATTCTACTGAACCATCTCCCCAGCTTAAAACTGCTTTAAAAACAGTCTCTTAAGGGGAGGAGGAGATGGCCCGGAAAGAGTAGCAGGAGGAGAAAGAAGTCATTGCCCATGAGGCCAAGCCTCGGAGAGTATTCCCTTGACTCTTCTCTGGCAGAAAAATCGCTTGCTCTTATTCAAATTCTCACATGAACAATTACTCTTGCTTATTTTACTGTTTGTATCACATTGTATAGTACTTGTTTTGAAGTCTCAATTCCTAAACTATTGCCACTAGACAGAGTCTAAAAAGTTCCCCCAACTTGGAGATGGGAAACCTTGACTCTCCCAAACCCTGGCGAGTTGCAGCTTCACAGATTTCTACCAAAAAGGAATTTACAGGTCATGTCAATAAGAAGTATAAAAATATCCATGCAGACTTTAAAAAGTACTCAAAGCAAGAAGAGTGCAGGCCTAGGAGAGGCCCCTGTGGGTTTGAGGAGCCAATGAGCCTTGAAAGATTTTATGTAGACTAGCGACTGTCCCTAAAATGGGCTCTTTGGATGTGTATTCTGGGGAGATATGTGAAAACAGAAACCACTTGCACACGTTTGAAGCTGAGCTGTGCTGTCCTCTCAATAGTGTGATCCTGGCACTGGAGGCTGGTGGGAGGAGTATGTGGAAGGGTGCAAGGCAGAGCCCAGAGCCAGTCTACAGGGTAACTGTCCTAAAGGCCCTTGGACATTTTTTTCTGGGGGAGAGGAAAAAAAATTGAACAACTTTTGTGTCTTGCAGCTACAGTTTTTCTTTAAAAATATAATTCTAATATTAAAATTTTTTCTGGTCTCCTTTCTCTCGAGCAGTACTTCCTTGTCTCATATCACTATGACTTGCCTGAGGGCAGGATCCCGGTCCTGTTTTGTGATTCATCCTAGAAATGCTACACAGCACAGATGAAATGTGCACAGGAGATCTTATAGCTGTTTTAAGGTTTTTAACCTCATATTCTGATCTTCTTCAGCCTTCTGGGGAGCCTGAAAACAGCTGCCTCTAAGTGGTTCATCCCATGACAGAGGTCAGAAAGAGAGGGAGAGAGAATTCAGGAAAGAGGACATTGAGAATGTAAGAATCCTAAACTAAGAGTTTATCTGTACAGAGAATCCCCACACTGCTGCGTGTTTCTCTAGCAGAGCTTTGGGAAATCCTCCTCTTTGGAGACAGTCTGAACAAGTGCGGTGGGGGGGAATTCAGGACCAGACACAGTAGGCTGGGCCAGCTCGTGGGGTGGTGTGCTCAGTGCTGGGCGCCAGAAATCACCTCCACTGACTCCCAGCGACTACATGAAATGCCGCACGGCTTCTCAGCCAGATGTGAATGCGTGAGACACACTTCTGGGAGAGGGGACGTTTAAACTTTATTATTTCCTCAGACACAAGTGCGAGTCACATGTAGCTAGTAGCACTTTAGAGGATGATAAAGAGAAACCATAAATACACTGGTGCTAAGAGTGGAAACGCCATTTCTATAGAGGTGATAGGGCACCCAAACTGACTTCTTTACTTCCCAGATTTGCCATCATTTAATGAAACAAAGTGAATACTCTTAACTGCACAATTCCTTTAATTATTGGAACTTCTTGTGAGCATTAACTCCAGACATCTATCTATCTATCTATCTATCTATCTATCTATCTATCTATCATCTATCTATCTATCATCTATCTATCTATCTATATCCAGCTAATGGGTATCATGTTAAAAGAGAACAGCTGACCTTTGATCATCTTCTCAAAGAAACATTCATTCACATTGAAAAACTGAGACAGGGGAGAGTCAGGGACACCATGGGCTAGGAGCATGTGTTCGAGCCAGAAGGACCCACTTCTCCCATCTCTTCTGCAGACTGCATGGCAGTTAGTGAATGTGAGGGACAGGGCTGGACCTCTCGTCTTCACCTGTGTGGTTCTTGAACCGTGTGGGACTTACCATGATAGCCTCCTCCTCAGCAAGAGCTCCTTCAGGGCAGAGCCTGGGACTCACTGATGTCCAAGTCTCCTCTTCTGTATAGTATAAAGCTGTCAAATAACAACTGAGCTGAGGTTGCCTGTCAAGGAGAAGAGGAAGCAGTGCTCTTGGCAGATTTTGACCTCTAGATAGGTTTCCTGCTCCTGCATAACTGAAAGGAGGCACTGCTTGGCTGGGAGGTTCTGATCCACAAGGAGGCCCGGGGAGAGTGCTAGACATGGGTATGGTTTAAAAAAGTCATGAGACATCAGGAGACGGTTCCCAGGACAGTTATAGGAGGTAAAGACTTTCAAAAGAGAGATATAGAAAGACAGGTGGTGTGTGGGATTTGGGGATATTCACTCCTGATGGGAGGAGTCTGGGCTAATGTGACAGCTGATTTTGGACATCAGTGGGGTTACTGTGTAGAGCAAATCTTCTCAACTTTTGTTCATGGTGAGACCCTCATAGGATAGCACCAAGTTCCATGTCCCACGGGGCAGTTGGCTGAGCTATGGAAGCCTCTGTTCCATCCTTTGGACCTGACACACTAGGTTGCACCTGCTACAAGGACTGAGGGGGTCAGTCTTAGCATCGTGTGCTATCTCTGCTGTGGGGGCATCATACATTCCTGATGAATCTGTTGTGAAGGGCAGGTGTTTTTATCTTAGAAGTGGGATCAAAATATCAAATAAGTGTAACTGAAAGGAAGAAAGGATTGATTCTTGGATTTGAAGGCATTATTTGTCAGAGGATGTGTGTGTTTTTGTGTATGCAGCATGTTCATTTTGCCTTTGTACTGTTTGTTTCACTAGGTCCAGATCTGGATATAGGTGAACATTCCAGTTCCTAGGCCAGACTTCCAAAGTGGTGGACTTGATGGGATCCAAGTTAAGGGCTCCAATTAGTACAGACAGCTCAATTAGAGAGA